AAGAAGAAGAAGAAGAAGAAGAAGAAGAGGAGGAGGAGGAGGAAGAGGAGGAGGAGGAGGAGGAGGAGAAGGAGAAGGAGAGGAGAAGGAGGAGGAGGAGGAAGAGAAGGAGGAGGAGGAGAAGGAGAAGAAGAACTACTACTACTACTACTACTACTACTACTACTACTACTACTACTACTTTTGCTTGTGCAGGGGGTTTGGCGAGAAGACCTCCACGGTCACGTCCAACTGATTCTGTTATTTGGAGGAGGAGGAGGAGGAGAAGGAGGAGGAGGAGGAGGAGAGAAGGGTCTCCTGCTTGAGCAGGGGGTTGGGCTAGATGACCTCCAAGGTCCCTTCCAACTCTTATACTCTATGATCCTGTAAGGGTCTCCTGCTTGAGCAGGGGGCTGGACTAGATGACCTCCCAGGTCCCTTCCAACTCTTGTCATTCCATGATTCTGTAAGGGTCTCCTGCTTGAGCAGGGGGCTGGATGGGATGACCTCCAAGGTCCCTTCCAACTCTTTTACTCTATGATTCTATAAGGGTCTCCTGCCTGAGCAGGGGGCTGGACTAGATGACCTCCGAGGTCCCATCCAGTCCTGTATTCTGTATTTTTTAGTTACAGGACAGCCATTTGACCACGATGGTATAATAAGGTCTCCTGCTTCAACAAGGGGGCTGGACTGGATGACCTCCGAGGTCCCTTCCAACTCTGTCCTTCTGTGATTCTGTAAAGGTCTCCAGCTTGAGCAAGGGGTTGGACTAGAAGACCTCTGGGGTCCCATCCAGTGCTATGATTCTGTGTTCTTAATGATTGGACGGCCATTTGCCCTGAATCGAATAAGATCTCCTGCTTGGGAAGGGGGTTAGACTAGAGGACCTCTGAACTCCCTTCCGATTCTGTTGGTAGATGGTAGATAGATAGATAGATAGATAGATAGATAGATAGAGAGAGAGAGAGAGAGAGAGAGAGAGAGAGAGAAATAGATAAATATATAGAGAGCGAAATAATAGATAGATAGAGAGAGACAGATGATAGAAAGAGATAAACAGAAAAACAGATGATAGATAGAGAATAAGATAGATAGATAGATAAATAGATAGAGAGAGAGAGAGAGAGAGAGAGAGATATGATAGATAAGAGAGAATGATAGAGAATAAGATGGAGAATAGATAGATATAGAGAGACAGACAGATAGACAGAATGATAGAGAATATGATAGATATAGAGAGACAGAATGATAGAGAATAAGATAGAGAATAAGATAGATAGATAGATAGATAGATAGATATAGAGAGACAGAGAGAATGATAGATAGAGAATAAGATAGAGATACAGATATGATAGATAAGAGAGACAGAATGATAGAGACAGAAAGATAGATATAGAGAGACAGATGATAGATAATAGATAAATAGAGAATAAGATAGATAGATAGATAGAGATAGAGATAGATATAGAGAGACAGACATGATAGATAAGAGAGAATGATAGAGAATAAGATAGATGGAGAATAGATAGATATAGAGAGACAGACAGATAGACAGAATGATAGAGAATATGATAGATATAGAGAGACAGAATGATAGATAGAGAATAAGATAGATAGATATAGAGACAGACTGATAGAATGATAGATAGAGAATAAGATAGAGAATAAGATAGATAGATAGATAGATAGATAGATAGATAGATAGATAGATAGATAGATAGATAGAGACAGACATGATAGATAAGAGAGAATGATAGAGAATAAGATAGATGGAGAATAGATAGATATAGAGAGACAGACAGACAGAATGATAGAGAATATGATAGATATAGACAGAATGATAGATAGAGAATAAGATAGATAGATATAGAGACAGACTGATAGAATGATAGATAGAGAATAAGATAGAGAATAAGATAGATAGATAGATAGATAGATAGATATAGAGAGACAGACATGATAGATAAGAGAGAATGATAGAGAATAAGATAGATGGAGAATAGATAGATATAGAGAGACAGACAGATAGACAGAATGATAGAGAATATGATAGATATAGAGAGACAGACTGATAGAGAATAAGATAGATAGATATAGAGAGACAGACTGATAGAATGATAGATAGAGAATAAGAGAATAAGATAGATAGATAGATAGATAGATAGATAGATAGATAGATAGATAGATAGATAGATATATAGATAGATATAGAGAGACAGACATGATAGATAAGAGAGAATGATAGAGAATAAGATAGATGGAGAATAGATAGATATAGAGAGACAGACTGATAGAATGATAGATAGAGAATATGATAGATATAGAGAGACAGACTGATAGAGAATAAGATAGATAGATATAGAGAGACAGACTGATAGAATGATAGAGAATAAGATAGATAATAAGATAGATAGATAGATAGATAGATAGATATAGAGAGACAGAGAGAGAATGATAGAGAATAAGATAGAGATACAGATATGATAGATAAGAGAGACAGAATGATAGAGAGTCAGAAAGATAGATATAGAGAGACAGATGATAGATAATAGATAAATAGAGAATAAGATAGATAGATATAGATAGTCAGAAAGATAGATATAGAGAGACAGACATGATAGATAAGAGAGAATGATAGAGAATAAGATAGATGGAGAATAGATAGATATAGAGAGACAGACAGATAGACAGAATGATAGAGAATATGATAGATATAGAGAGACAGACTGATAGAATGATAGATGGAGAATAAGATAGAGAATAAGATAGATAGATATAGAGAGACAGACTGATAGAATGATAGATGGAGAATAAGATAGAGAATAAGATAGATAGATAGATAGATAGATAGATAGATAGATAGATAGATAGATAGATAGATGTAGAGAGACAGAGAGACAGAATGATAGATAGAGAATAAGATAGAGATACAGATATGTAGATAAGAGAGACAGAATGATAGATAGAGAGTCAGAAAGATAGATATAGAGAGACAGATGATAGATAATAGATAAATAGAGAATAAGATAGATAGATATAGATAGTCAGAAAGATAGATATAGAGAGACAGACATGATAGATAAGAGAGAATGATAGAGAATAAGATAGATGGAGAATAGATAGATATAGAGACAGACAGATAGACAGAATGATAGAGAATATGATAGATATAGAGAGACAGACTGATAGATAGAGAATAAGATAGAGAATAAGATAGATAGATAGATAGATAGATAGATAGATAGATAGATAGATAGATAGATGTAGAGAGACAGAGAGACAGAATGATAGATAGAGAATAAGATAGAGATACAGATATGATAGATAAGAGAGACAGAATGATAGATAGAGTCAGAAAGATAGATATAGAGAGACAGATGATAGATAATAGATAAATAGAGAATAAGATAGATAGATAGATATAGATAGTCAGAAAGATAGATATAGAGAGACAGACAGATATGATAGATAAGAGGGAGACAGAATGATAGATAGATAGCAGGGCTGTGGAGTCGGGAGNCCATCTCCTGGTGATTGGCACAAAATCACCCAGTCGGCTTTCCTGCCTAAGGCGGGACTAGAACTCTCCATCTCCTGGTGATTGGCACAAAATCACCCAGTCGGCTTTCCTGCCTAAGGCGGGACTAGAACTCACTGTCTCCAAGTGATTGGCGCAAAATCACCCAGTCGGCTTTCCTGCCTAATGCGGGACTAGAACTCACTGTTTCCTTATGATTGGCCCAAAGTCACCCAGCCGGTTTTGATGCCGAAGGCAGGACTAGAACTCACCGTCTCCTGCTGATTGGCCCGAAGTCACCCAGCTGGTGTTCATACCGAACCCTGGATCATAATGGTCTCTCTCTTGCTAGCCTAGTTTCAATTTATAATTTATAAATATGGTCATCTAAAAATCGAAAAAAAATGAGGCTGGGAGTCGTTGTGTGCTTCTGCGTTGTGGTGATTGTTGTCGTTGGTGACCAAGGCCTGAATTGTGACGTTTGTTTTGTTTGATCCAGTTTGAAATTGCCAAAGTGTTGCGTAAAA